AGTAGCTGGGACTACAGGTGCCAGCCACCACGCCTGACTAACTTTTTGTATTTTTAATAGAGGCAGGGTTTCACCATGTTAGCCAGGATGGTCTCAATCTCCTGACCTCGTGATCCACCCACCTCGGCCTCCCAAAGTGCTGGGATTACAGGCGTGAGCCACCAGGCCTGGCCTGGTTTTTGTCTTAAACATTCATCTCCTTTGCCAGGGTCTGTCCGTTGTCCACACCTGAGTCTGAACAGGTTGATCATGAGGCCTCAACTTTCACTGTGCAATCTTCTGCAGAGATTGGGTGTGTGTCTCAGATAGAGCTGTGCACGTTGAGATTTTTCTTTTTTTTTTTGCATAGCGTCCCATCCAGTAACAAAGAGAAAATGGGGCTCACCCAGGGGTGTCCTGAGATGGGCGGGCCCCAAGGGAGTTCCACTCTCTTGAGACATGTGATGGGGCCCTGTGATCCTTGCTCCCTTTATCTCCTCTGCCTTTCCCCCGTCTAGCCTCCCTCCTCATCTTTGTTCCCCATTCCCCCACCAGTTCCTTCTGTTCTCCTTCTCCTCACCTCTTGTTTGCCCTGTCCTGAGGACCTAGCCCCCTTACAACCTTCCTTCATAGCCCAGTGCCAATGTTGGCCTGGGGCCTTCAACATCCCCTAACCCCCCCCGGCAGAGGGGGAGTTGCAATGCAGGCTTCCCTGTTGAGGGACCTCACTATTGTGGAGCACTGCTTCTGACAGGTGGTGTCTGAGCCTGTCACCATGAAATGGGGCAGCCACAGTAGCTACTTTCATCATTCAGTCTTTGTTGAGCATGCATTGTTGAGGGGCTCCTCCCCTCTACATGTCAGAACTCTTGGGTTGAGCAGGTGAGCTCAGCAACATTGCAGAATGCAAGATTAGCACACAACAATCAATTGCATTGATGTATACCAACAAGAAACATGAAAACCAAAGTTAAAGACATTTATAATTACTCCAAGGAAAATTAAATACTTTGCTATAAACTTAGCAAACCATCTACAGAACTTGCATGTAAAATTAAAAACCATGGGCTGGGCGTGGTGGCTCACGCCTTAATCCCAGCACTTTGGGAGGCCAAGGCAGGCAGATCACAAGGTCAGGAGTTTGAGACCAGCCTGGCCAACATGGTGAAACCCCATCTCCAGTAAAAATGCAAAAATTAGCCAGGTGTGGTGGCATGCACCTGTAGTCCCAGCTACTTGGGAGGCTGAGGTAGGAGAATCTCTTGAACCCAGGAGGCAGAGGTTGTAGTGAGTTGAGATCGTGCCACTGCACTGCAGCCTAGACAACAGAGTGAGACTCCATCTCAAAAACAAAAAAAACAAAAAAATTACACACCATGCCTGGGCAAGGTGGCTCACGTCTGTAATCCCAGCACTTTGGGAGGCCAAGGTGGGTGGATCACCTGAGGTCAGGAGTTCAAGAACAGCCTGGCCAATATGGTGAAATCCTGTCTTTACTAAAAATACAAAAAATTAGCTGGGCGTGGTGGTGCACGCCTGTAATCTCAGCTACTCAGGAGGCTGTGAGGTGAGAATTGATTGAACCTAGGAGACAGAGGTTGCAATGAGCTGAGACTGTGCCACTGCACTCCAGTCTGGGCAACAGAGTGAGACTCTGTTTCAAAAAAAAAAAAAATTGCACACCATTAATAGAAGACATCATCAATAAACATCTAAAGAAATGGATAGGCATACAATGTTCATGGATTGGAAAATCCAACATAGTAACAATGTCAGTTCTCCCTAAATTGATCTATACATTTAATTCACTTCCATCAAAAGGTTTTTGTACTTGTAGACTGGGAAAAATATTTGCAAACCACATATCCAGCAAAGGTCTAGTAGCGAGAATATATAAAGAGCCTTCAAAACTCAACAGTTTAAAAACCCAATTGGTAGCCAAGTATGGTTTCACATGCCTGTAATTCCAGCTACTCAAGAGGCTGAGGCCGGAGAATTGCTTGAACCCAGGAGATGGAGGTTGCAGTGAGCCAAGATTGCACTACCACACTCCAGCCTGGGTGACAGAGTGAGACTGCATCTCAAACAGACAAACAAAAATCCAATTAGAAAATGGGCGGCCTGGCGCAGTGGCTCATGCCTGTAGTCCCAGCACTTCGGGAGGCCAAGGTGGGCAGATCACGAGGTCAGGAGATCAAGACCATCCTGGGCTAACACAGTGAAACCCCATCTCTACTAAAAATACAAAAATTAGCCAAGCGTGGTGGCAGTTGCCTGTAATCCCAGCTGCTTGGGAGGCTGAGGCAGAAGAATCGCTTGAATCTGGGAGGCAGAGATTGCAGTGAACTGAGATCGCACCTTTGCACTCCAGCCTGGGTGACAGAGCAAGACTCCATCTTGGAAAAAAAAAGGAAAAAGAATGTAAAGTGTTATAGCTGCTGTGGAAAACAGGTTGGCAGTTTCTCATAAAACTAAATATGCAATCACCATATGGTCCAGCAATTGTACTCTCGGGCATTTATCCCAAAGAAATAAAGACTTATGTTCACCCCAACTGGGCACGGTGACTCACGCCTGTCATCTCAGCACTTCGTGAGACTGAGGTGGGTGGATCACAAGGTCAAGAGTTTGAGGCCAGCCTGGCCAATATGGTAAAACCTCAATTATACTAAAAATACGAAAATTAGCCAGGCATGGTGGCAGGTGTCTGTACTCCCAGCTACTCAGGAGGCTGAGACAGGAGAATCGCTTCAACCTGTGGAGGTCACAGTGAGCCGAGATTATGCCACTGCACTCCAGCCTGGGCAACAGAATAAGACTCTGTCTCAAAAAAAAAAAAAAAAAAAAAAACCAAAACAACAACAAAAAAACACTTATGTTCACCCCAAAAATAGTGCCCAAATGTTCATAGTAGTTACTTGTGATAGCCCCAAACTGGAAACAAGCCAGGTGTCTCTCAGTCAGTGATGGCTGAGCAAAGTGGACTCAGCAGGAACCAACCGTTAATACATAGAACAACCTGATGAATCTTCAGGTAATGACGCAAAGTGAAAAAAAAGCCAAGCCTAAAAAGCACACCCTCTATCATTCCATTTATGTTCCATTTTGAAAAAATAGCGTCTTAGAAGTGGAGAACAGGTCAGCAGTTGCAAAGGTTTAGGGACTGGGGGTGTGGGGCAACAGGAGGGACCCTTGTGGTATGGAAGCGTTCTGCATCTCAAGTGTGGCGGATACAGGAACCCACACGTGCGAGATAAGTACAGGCCCACGAATGAACACGACTGTGGCAGAAACAGGAACCCACACGTGTGAGATAAGTACACCCACACGAATGAACA